TCTGGTTCGATCGCGACTTCGATCACGGGATCGACGTCGACTGCGGTCGTCTCTGCGGCGCGTGGGCTGCCCGCGGCGGCGCACATCGTCGTCGCTGTCCGGAAGCTTCGAGTAGTCGATTGGCTCCTCGACATCCTCGGCAGATTTTTCGGCACTCACCTTCTCGTCGCTGCTTGTTGCCAATGCCGACGACGAAGGCCCCGAGCGCTCGATGCGCTTGTTGTACTGTTCAATGAGAGTCTTGTCGCCACCCGAAGTAGATGCGTCACGTCGTCGTTGCTGGTCCGGATCACGATGGCGCTTGTAGTGCAGGTGCGCGTCCATGCGGGCGCCGCGCGCCTGCTCCTCGAGTGTTCGCAAGTCCATGCCATACTGCGCTTGAACGACGGATTCCAGGGACTCACCCGTTTCCCGCGCGCGATCCTTCGCCCGCTGCAGCATCTTGGCCTTCCAGCTCGCCCCGCCGTCGCCGACAGACGCGTCCACGGGCGCAGCCATCATGGACACTTGCTCAACTTTCTTGGGATCGTATAGACCGTAGAGAAGGCCTGTGTTGGGCTCGCGCTTTCCGGTGTCAATCTCCTCCTGGCGCTTTGCGGCTTCATCGGCCTTTCGCTGGTCCTCGACCGAGAGCTGTACCTTGCGCGGCCCCGACACAAAGTCCTGTCATACATAAGGCTTCTATAGGAAGCAGAGCCTGTACGCACCATGTCCATCCATTCGTCTCGCTTGAGCTGCGACGGCGTCGGGGCAGGCGGCGATGGTGGCGAGTCCTTCCACGTGATGAGCCGTGGTCACGAGACATGGAGGAGGTACCTTTTTCTTGTGCTTCTTGGCCTCCTTCTTGTGCTTCTTGGCCTTCTTCTTGCTGCTCTCGTCGTCCGAGTCGGCGTTCGCAACGAAGCGGATCCCCGACAAGAGCGACGACATGCTTGGTGTTTCGCACGGTCCTCGACTGCCTCCAGTCCCACGCGTTGAGTTGAGTTTGGCTCTCACAATTATTCATAGTGCAAATTGAGTTTCGATACGCATTTGAGTTGAGCAAAGCCAGTCACAGGACTGGCTGCAACGGAAGCCAATCCAAACCAAGGGTACCTAAATTCAATAGGGTGTGTAACGGAATCTATTTTGGGCCGCGCGGCATTTTACATGTGTCAGACAAAACGCCATCAGCGTTTGCAAAATTTGGACGAGGAAACTTATCTGGGGGGGCGCAACTTTATTGATGGAAACCGTTCAAGTAAGTTTCACTATTCGATTAAGTTTTGAAAGCCATTCGTTTAAATATTGAACAAGTGTCAAAGGCTCGCGCTGGGAACCGCGCCATGTTGTCATGCCGACGTCGTCGATCGAGATGCCCGGGCAGAAGAAGACTACCTTTTTCCTGTCCACGACGCCGTCGTCGTTGAGCGGAAGCTGGCGCGCGTCGACAATGCGGGCGAACTGTAGCATCTTGGCATGCTGCATGTCGTTCAGCGGTCCTGTGCGCAGTGCTGGCAAGAGCGCGCTGATCTTGGTGAGCACCCACGCATTGGTGTCGTCTTCGTCAGCAGCTTTGGCAGATGTGAGGCCAAGCCGACGCGCATCGCGCGCAAAGTTGGAGCGCTTGGACGTGCACTTGCTGCACGCGTCGCCGATGGAGCCCGCGGCCAGCACGATGGGGCAGTCGCGAGCGCGGTAGCGTCCCATGGCGAACGCAAGCGGCTGGTAGAGCTCGATCGATGCATCAGGCGGCAGGTCGCTTCGAACGCTGTTGCAGAGCTTCAAGCTCGTCTCCAAGACCCGTGGCGGCGCTGTCGCGGGTTGCTCAATCCACGGTGATGCCAGGGGTAACGCTGCAGGTTGATCTTCTCGTGGCAATGGAGGTGGCGACGGAGGAGGCTTTGACCGGCGCAGAAGGGCGTCAGCACTCTTCTTGGCCGCCTTATTGTCGCGCCGTACTCTGGCGTCGCAGGCACGGCAGAGACCGTTGGAGCGGATGCGGTCGTAGCCGGATGCTGGACCAGTGCATGAGCAACTCCGACACTGCAACGAGGGCTGCAGTCCAGGCTCGGGCGCGGGCTCCAGCTCCGCTGGGCGGTCGACCCCGCGGATCATCAGCGCAACCAACTGCCAGCCTCTGACTGGATATGAAACGGCCGGGCTTGGATTCTGCGATCTTTCCCCGGTTGGCAAGATACCCTTTTCATGACGACCAACGACACTTGGCACATGCGCCCCGAAGGCTACATTTTTCATGGGATGTAGCCGCATTCCTGGACTTCGTAGTAAGCTAGGTGGCAAGTCTCGGGGCGCATGTACTACGCGTCGTTGGATGCCCCAAGATGACCACATTAGGACCGCAGAAGCGTAATAAAAAAGACAAACACAAAATATTTTGAGTATTTTAAATATGCTTTATTATATTACAGAGCGCGGCACTCATCGCGTTTTGCATGGAGAAACCGTCTGACACATCCATTTCCGGAAAGGCCCGGAATAGGCCCAAAATAGATTCCGTTACACACCCTGTTGAATTTATGTACCCTTGATCCAAACGCACCATTTGCATACTCATTCAAGCCGTCGACGGGCCTTCATTTGGCAGCCAGTGTCTTGCAATTCTTGGATTATGGGTCTCGGATGCTGGCCATAAGGCGAACGAGAAGTAAAGTAGTGCATTTAAGCCCTACTATAACTACTGATCTAGGGGTTGGGCCTTGAAGAAGCGTTCAATCAGTGCTAGCGACGCCTTGGGCTGGTTTGTTGGCACCATGTGGCCGGCCTCGTAGACGCGTACAAAGCTCAGGCTCGAGATCGAACGGACTTCGCCATAGCTGGCGCCATCGACAAGAAGCGGGTGCACCGTCGCGTTGTTGAACGCGGCTTGGCGGGACCAAACGAGGTCTTTTGTCCACGCCTCGTTGCCGACCCAGTTGCACATGATGTCGGCGTCGCCTGCGTAAATGAGCACGCGGACCCCATGCGCGAGAAGATCCGGCACGTAACTCACGTAGTCTTGCATAAAGTCGGCGCTGAAGTCCAAGTACGTTGTCTCGTTGGTCATGACCCATGGCTTGTGGACACCAAGTGTCGCCTGCGTCGTCGCCAAGTTGAGAAATCGCGCAGCGTTGGCCGTCTCGTCGAAGCACGATTCGCCGCAGAACTCGCGGATGTCATAAGGGTTCCGGTTCATCTGCTGCATGACGCCAATGACTGCATCGTCCCAGAGACCCAGCGCATCGAGGCAGCTCTGGTGCTGGCCATCGCGGCACTCTTGCGCGAGAACGCCGGCGTGAACAGCGTCCTGAAGCAGCTGCGTGAGCTGGTCCGCGGGCACAAGTGAGATATTGTAAGCGTTGGTGACGGCCAACGCCGGTGTGAGCGGAATCTAAATACAATGGTAGGATGACGATGCACAATAACACCAGGTACCTGTGTGACAGGGTCGGTCAAGCCGTTGCCGACCGAGATGCCTCGCAAGTTGATATGGATCTTGGAGCGGCGCGACGCTTGCGGCTCGAGCTGCGCGTTGAGGATGTAGTGCGCGGCAGCAGGCACGTAGTGTCCACCGTAGCTCTCGCCCGTGATGAAGAACGGGCTCTTGGCGTACTTGGGGTGCTTTGCCAGGAACTCTTGCAGGAACGCGTAAATGTTGCGGCCAACGTCGACTTGGTTGTGGTCGTCGTCCTTGTCGCTCGTCGTGTACGAGAAGCCGACGCCCGTTGGCTGGTCGAGCCAGATGACGTTGGCGTGCGACGTCCACGAGTGCGGGTTGTGAATCGTTGTCAAGTTGTCACTGATCGAGCATGGGCCGTTCTCGGTGAGAAGCGCAATCATCGACGACGACCCGGGGCCACCGGTGAGCCAGAGCACGAGCGGGTCCGTCGCCGGATTCGAGCGCGACTCGAAGAACCAATAGAAGTAGTGGTCGTTGACCTTGTGCGGCAGCTGTACATAGCCGGCCTCTTGGAACGTTGCATCACAAAACGACGACCCGTTTAGCTTTGTGGCCGTCGTTCGCGACCCGGTCGCGTGGGCAGCGACGGGTGGCGCTACCGTTGCCTGCTCATGGACGTGGTACGTGGCACCGAGGAGCGCTGCGGCACTGATCCCGGCAAGAAAAATCTTCCCAAGCCACGACGACGACGACGAGGGTTTTGGTGGCGCGGGCACGACAAGACGGAAGAGCGGCGCTTGCTCCGTCATTTGAAGACAATTGCAAAATGAACGCACGTGGTTGAAGTTGAGTACGATGGTGGCTACTCCACTGTACTCAGTTCGTGATAGATGGGCACCGGCTGACCGCGCTGCCAAGGGTCATGAATGCGAAGGCGGTGTCCGGCCGTGTGTGGTTTGTCGCTGCAATAACAAACCACGCAGGAGAAGTTTTTCTCGAGAGCCATAGCGTGTGACGATCCGGAGCGCACGTCGACGGTCTGAAAACTTTTGTGCAAGCGCAACTCAGCTCCGGCTTCGAATTTGAACCCGCACAGATGTGAGATTGTTCCGCGGATGCTATGGCCAGCAAGAAACGATCATGGGCTGCTTGGGCAGCGTGCGACGACAGAGATGGAACGCTCCCGCTTGCTTGCGAAACCGGCGGCAGTGCTTCGCGCAGAGGCCCAATGAGTTTGGCGTCTTCTATATACGAACAAGTGCGTGTGATGATACCTGCGATGATTCTACCGAGGTACTACTGCTGCAGGTTATTAGTAATAGCATCGGCAGTTGCTCCGCGCGCCTCTTGTATCGTAGGCGTTGCTGGTCAAGATCGCCAGTTAGGAATGATGATCGTGAACGATCGTCACTCCGTACAGCACTATTTAAAGGACTAGAATGGACGCCATGAGCATGTGAATAGTGTACGTGAGCAATCAAAGAAACAGAAGCTCCCTCCATCAATGTCGCCACTGCGCCACGGACAATGGTGCAGAATGTACTACATACGTGCTTGTGCAATTCGGTGCCTCATGCTCGCTATGATACCGATACAATAATGTGTGGTTGGGGCAAGTTTTTGATATATTTGAAATAATGTGACACCCAACGCAAAATAGTATTGTCGACAATTGACGTGCGTCAAACTGCAGCTCATTCCACAAAGTTCCATGTCGACAACCGAGAAGTCCCCACTCTTCAGCGTGCAAGTGAAGCCCCGGAAGGCGCCCGAAGCCAGCTACAAGAGGTGGCTATTTGCAATTGGCGCAGTTGGTGTCATCGCCGCCCTCGCGCTCTTAACGCTGACAGGCAGTCGGTCGTCGTCGGCCGACTTTTGCGACGCGACGTTCCAAGAGTCGGGTTACATTCAATTGCCGCACAAGGTCGACGACCACTACTTTTACTGGTTCTTCGAGTCGCGCTCGAATCCGGCGACGGACCCGCTCGTGCTCTGGCTCACTGGTGGCCCCGGTGGGTCGTCGATGGTCGCGCTCCTCACCGAGAACGGCCCTTGCACTATCGACGCGAACCTCAACACGGTCAACAACCCGCACTCGTGGACGTCGCACGCCAACGTCATCTGGCTCGACCAGCCAACGGGCGTCGGCTTCTCGTACACGACGAGCGACAAGGACGACGACCACAACCAAGTCGACGTTGGCCGCAACATTTACGCGTTCCTGCAAGCGTTCCTAGCAAAGCACCCCAAGTACGCCAAAAGCCCGTTCTTCATCACGGGCGAGAGCTACGCCGGGCACTACGTCCCTGCGGCCGCGCACTACATCGTGGGCATGGCCAACGCGACCAGCGACGTGCGCATCAACCTCCAGGGCATCGCGATCGGCAACGGCATGACGGACACCATCACACAGATTCCGTACTCGGCGCACATGGCGCGCGACAACAAGTACATCGATCTCGCATCTCCCGAAGGCTTTGCAACCCTCAAGGCCGAAGCTGCTGCATGCGGGAAGCTCGTCGTGCTGTGCCAAACCAACGACTCGGTGTGTCCCGAGGCGACGCAGTACTGGGGCGAGCACATCTTGGGCCCGATGATGAGCTACAGCAACAAGACGGGCAACCCGTACGACATTCGCGAAGACTGCTCCGTTGACGGCTGCGTCGACCACATTGCCAACGTTCGCGCCTTCCTCAACACGCCGGCCGTGCAGTCGCGCCTCGGCGTGCACGACAACATTACGTGGACCGAGGTCGCGATGCGAGTCTATGGCGACTTTAGCATCGACTTTATGAAGGACTACGTCTCGTTCGTGCCGCCACTGCTCGCGGCGGGTGTCCGCGTCATGGTATACGCCGGCGACGCCGATCTCATGTGCAACTGGGTCGGCAACG